GTATCATAAAGTAATAATTATCACCTGGAAGTTATTATGGTATATTGATGGTCCCTAAGTGCATGATGTTGAGAAAATCAGCTCATTGTGTCCTTTATTTTTGTGACAGGTTGTGCCAGAAGTGATAAATCTGGATGGTGACTACATAGAGATAGGTTAGCAGCTACAAATCAAAACAAACTTTCTGTCAAATATTTTTAAAAGTGATAATTAAAACTTTACGATACCCCTCGTACTGTTGGTAACCTGTCCTGCTTTCCACTTTTTACACATGCCCTTTCTAATTTTCATCTCATTATTAAGTTTTCTGTGCATCCATTTTTTTTTCCAAATGTTTCCCATTTTTCATTCTCATTTGAATTCTTTGTAACTGTTCATGAACTCCTCCATTAAGAACTCTTATCTGTTTGGAGCACTTTTCCAATTAACTGATCTAGCCATGGAGTCCTACCCTGTATTTCTCTGTGCTTACAAAAATCAGATTTCCTGAAATTCAAGATTAATGTTTTGATTGTACTCACTTTTAGCTTTACATAATATCAAGAATTTAGGTATTACATGATAATTTCCTCTCAACATTCTCACCAATTTAACACCATAGATCAACTTCCAGAGTGATTAGGATCAAGTTAAGGATCAGCCAATTCCTTTATTACTTCCTCTACTTTCTGAAAGAAGGAGGTCTCAGTTAGGTATATTGGGAATTAGTCAAGCAATTCCCTGCTCAGCAGAGTTTTGTCCACCAGGAGATATTTAGGGACCAAGGGCCTAAACAGGTAAAGGCACCAGATCCCATCTGATCTTGGTAGCTAAGCAGGGTCAGAGCTGGTTAGTACTTGGGACTCCATCAAGGAACACCAGGTGCTGTAGGTTGTATTTTAGAGAAAGGAACTGGCAAAACCACCTCTGAGTATATTCCTAGCATAAGAAAACTCTATGAATCCATGGGGTTGGCATGACTCAATAGGGGACTTGAAGACATATCAATCAACTAGGGGCCTAAATATTTCAAAGGCACCAGAACCTACTTGATCTTGAAAGCTGAGCAGCATCCGCACTGGTTAGTATTTGGATAGAAGTTGTTCTTGTTGCGTGCCTTCAAGTCACTTCCAACTAAGGTGAACCTATCGGGGATTTTCTTGGCAAGATTTGTTCATTCTCTTTGCCTTCCTCTGAGGCTGTGAGTGTGTGACTTGCCAAAGACTACCCTGGGGATTTCCATGGCTCTGCGGGGATTTGGACCCTCATCTCTGGTGTCATGGTCCAACCAATATCAGGTGTTGTAGACTGTACTTCAGAGGAAGGAACTGGCAAAACTGCCTCTGAGTATTCACTACCTAAGAAAATCCTGTGAAATTCATGAGATCACAGTAAGTCAACAGGTGACTTGAAGGCACACACACACATTAGTCAACCATTATATATTATCTCTATCCTCTTCACAATGTAGCCATCTGTAGTAGAATCACACCATGTTTTTTACTTCTTTCTCATTTTATTTTTGGCTAGAAACTAGTCTACATTGTGTTCACTGTCTTGGTTGTCTTGCAGGTGCACACATTTGACATGGAATATATACCTACCCCCTTTCTGTTGCATTTTTTCTTTTTGAACAAACTGGAAGTTATATTTCCCAACTGCTACTTTCCAATCAAGGGAGACATTCTACTAAGTCTCAGCTATAGTTATACATTTCTATACTAGGAGTGTAGGCTTATCTTGTATATTTCCCATTCCATGTTAGAGTACAGACACAGAAAGCCACTGTGCTCCAATATCCGTCCTGCTGTTTTATTGTGAGGTTTGCTAAGCACCAGCATAACACCTCCAGTATCATGTCCTCTAGCGCATCTGACCATACTTTTTATTTTTGCCTCCTAATTATGTTTACTTTGGAATAAGCAGATTTAATATGATCGTTTTTAAAGGCATGCCTAGGGATGAGCAATCTTATACATCTCTACGCAGATGGCAACGAGGGAGAGACACTTACTGCTATGCCAGCAGAAAGGCTGCCATATCTAATATGTGCTCTATCCAGGAAATACATAACATGAAAATTCAAAAATGGTAGGGAAATGTTAGGCACCACTCTTCAACATTCCTAGAAATGCTGCTGGTACCTATCCATCAAGAAATGCACTGTTGACAACATATAGGAGCCAATGAATTCCCATCCAGTACACGTCTCCCTTACAAAACACGCACACACAATTCATCTCATGGCATCAAAGAGCTCCTACTCAGTCAGACCCTTATAATTGAAAAGTTGTGTTATAGGGCTGCACCATTTTCCTTCCAAGATTTGTCATCATGGCAAGGGAAAGACCAGGATGACCCCAACTATTGATCGGTCAAAATAGGAGCAGCTGCAGGGAGTGTGCTTTCCCCACACTCACCAGGAAGACAACTAGGACTGCATCCACTCTGCAGAAATAACTGGGTTTGGCACCACTTTAATTGCCATGGCTCAGTGCTATGCGATTCAGGGAATGGTAGCTCCTCTCTAGTGCCCCAATAAACTACCATTCCCAGAATTCCATAGCACTGAGCCATGGCACTTAAAGTGATGTCAATCCAGATTATTTCTGCAGGGTGAATGCAGCCTTTGTTCCAACTACTTGTCACCCCAATAGACTGTAAACAGCATAAAGATTACTTGATTAAAATATTAGATGTAAACTAATATATAAATATACATGTTTGCATCATTTCTTTCACTCTTCCAACAATCTTCAAGTTATTTTAATAGTCTCACTTTCCTGTATCATATGTTTATTTAAGAAACAATGTGCTCCATTATAGTAGCCATACATACAAACAGTATACTGATTACTAAAGAAGTAAAATTTTCCCATGTCTGCATAAGATAGCATCTGCAAAATACCATGAGTGCGTGTGTTCATGCTTTCACATTGCCTGTCAATTTGTGGCAATCTCATGATTTTCATAAGGTTTTCCAAGACAAGGAATACCCAGAGGAAGCTTTGCCAGCTCCTCCCTCTGAAATACAGCCTACAGCACCTGATATTCGTTCCGGTCCAAGTACTAACTAGGACTGATCCTATTTAGCTGCCAAAATCAGATGAGATCTGGTGCGTTTAGAATATTTAGCCCATACAATGCAATTATTCCCTCTAACTTCATACATATTAGTTTGGAAGCAAAATGAGCACACCCAAAGTAAGATATTTGTGTTTCTCTACACGCTGGAGGCTCCCTGGGTGTGCACAAAAACATTAGTTTGTACATTAAAAGGAAATTTTATAATAATAATAACATATTGCCTTTTTCCAGCTGGGTTTTTTTTAAGGTTAAAAATTCACAAAATACAAAAGTTAAAAACTGATTAAGCTAAATATTTAAAAATTAAAACTATTTATGAACATAAGTCATAAAAAGCACAATAAAATAAAAACAAAATGAAATTTCACACATTGTACAGGCCCATCTCACCAAAACAATCAGTCTTCAAAGCAGGGTGGGCTGCTTTAATAATAATAATAATAATAATAATAATAATAATAATAATAATAATAACTTTTATTTTTATCGTACCCTCTACGTAACGCAACCGGGGTGGCTTACAACATTAAAAATATACATTTCATATCCCACAATCCCACCCACCCTTTAAAACAGTATTAAACAATGACGATTTAAAACACACTTAAAATAATAATACAAATAAACAATAACTGCAGCAGAATCAGGGAGCAAGTTGGGCTAGCTCTTGATGGCCGGGATATCTATCAACTAGGCTGGTTTAAACTCCTGGATTTTTAAACTGATATATAAACACTGCAGAAATAATCCAGTTTGAGACTGCTTTAACTGCCATGGCCCAATGCAAGGAAATTCTGGGAACTGTAGTTTTGTGAGACATTTAGCCTACTCTGTCAGAGAGCTGTGGTGCCACAATAAATTACAATTCCCAGGATTCCCTAGCACTGAGCTTGGCAGTCAAAGCAGTCTCAAACTGGATTATTTTTGCAGTGTGCTTTGGACCAACCTGTGGGTTTTCAATAACTACAGGCCTAAGCAGACTGCCAGAAATAGTGCACATTAAATTGAGGCACTGCCCTGGCTCAGTGCTAGGGAATCACGGGAACTGTATTTTTTTCTGGGACATTGAGCCTTTTCTGTGAGAGATCTCTGGTGCCACAATAAATTACAGTTCCCTAACACTAGCCAGGGCAGCGCCTCAATTTAATGTGCACTATTTCTGACAGTCTGCAAAGGCCCTAAGTAATGCTGAGGGTGCTAGCTGAAAGTGGGAAAGAGGGGGGAGGGGTTAGATAGACAAGAATTAGCCGAACCAAGATCCTGACAGCTTATACCTAGTATCCCAAAGGTAGTGATTGGGGTCAGGATAATCCATGCTATGTGGTTAAAAACAAACAAACAAACCCAAAAAACCCTGGTCTATAGCAGACACTTTCAGGAGAAAGCAAATTAAAGAGCTGTTTGTTTCTCCTTGTGCAAAATAAAAATGAATGTTTCAGGCATAATCTGATTAAACTGGATTAAATTAAGACAATGTAAAACAATAATTCAAACTGAATCTATATTTTAATAGATTCAGTTTGAATTATTGTTTTACATTGGGGGGTTGCAGACTGTCAAAAATAGTGTGAATTCAGTCCACTTTTAGGGTTAGGGTTAAGGTTAGGGAATCATGGGAACTGAATTTTATTGTGGCACTAGAGTTCTCTGACAAAGAAGGTTCAATGTCTCAGAAAAATAACAATTCCCATGATTCCCTAGCACTAACCCTAACCCTAAAAGTGGACTGAATTCACACTATTTTTGACAGTCTGCAACCCCCCATTGTCTTAATTTAATCCAGTTTTAAGGGGGGGAGGGGGGTGTTTACATTGTATATTTTTGTAATTTGCATTTTTAACTGTAAAGCCGCCCGGATTGGATTACCAATGGGCGGGGTACAAAATAAATTTTATTATTATTATTATTATATTATAAAGAGTATATAGTTGAGAGCCATCGTGGTATAGTGGTATGAGGGTTAGACTGCAACACGGGAGGCCAGGGTTCGAATCCCAGCTTGGCCATGACAATCATTTCTGACTTATGGTGACCCTGAGATGAATCTATTATTGCCAAGAATATTTTTTTTAGAAGCGGTTTCCATTACCTTCCTCTGAGGCTAAGACAGTGTGCCAAGGTTACCCAGTAGGTTTCCAGGCCTGAATGGGGATTGAAACCCTGGTCTCCACAATCCTAGTCCAACACTCAAACCACTACACCATGCTACCCTTCTTAGAGTATATCCATTGAAATCAACAAGATTGTTGTGATACGTGACTAACACATTCTATTCATTTTAGTGGATTTGCACCCTTTAAATCTAAGCATGCACCAGTCTAAAATGAGACAAATTACTACATGGAATCTATTTTAAGCTCTGCGTCTTTGAATCAGATTATGCCTGAAACATTCATTTTTATTTTGCACAAGGAGAAACAAACAGCTCTTGCAGTCGTGAATTTCCAAGTATTTTTAGGACAGTTTCAGTATTTGGAAACAGAAAGACTTTTCTCGAGATGCCAACCATTTTCATACAGAGAAAGAATTTCTCTCCTTGTAAGAAAAGGCTTGAATTATAGCCTCCAAAGCAAGGGAGCTGAAATCTTTTCCAAGGGCAGAACAAAATGTCAAGGTTGCCAAACCTTTCCCCCAAGTTTTATAGCGACTGATTTCAGACACTATCGTAATGGCATAGAGGTCATTTTGCTGGTATGTACAGTATATAATCGCATTCACCCACCTCAAATCTTTCATCCTTTTCGAGGCCTCTCAAACCACAACCTGCCCACAAAAACCTGGCCTCTGGTGTTTCTGAATATCGGATTCCTCCAACTGCACTTGGCGGTTTACTGCCTGAACAAATTACATTAACAATGCAGAGAAATGTATACATGGCCTTAAATACATGATTGAACTGGGACCAAAACAAAGGCAACAGTATCCTAGCAACAACCTCAAGCCTGCTCCCCACCGGCAGGATTTCTGGACCCTGCCATGTATTGGGAACCATTGAGTTTCACTCTTTGCTGCAAACAATTAAGGACCGAGAAGTCCCAATTACAACTGGGATTTACAGCCAAAGAAACATTCTATAAATCACTCTCCCACTCCTCCTACTCTTTCTCAAACCAAATAATCTCATCCAGATGTTTAGCTACAGCTGTCTAAATGTGTGGTATATTGTTAATCAGTAAGAGTGATTTTCTCTGGAAAAAAAATGTCAAAGGCTGAAGCACTAGAACTTCATATAAGGAGACATGGATTTCTAAGGCAGAAGTCATCAACTACAACATGTGGTGGTGACTGAGTATTTTAGCAGGACAAAAAGAAAACTTAGTGATGTTTTCTGATTTTAAGCAGCAGATCCAACTAGTGTCTGCTCTAAAAAAATTAAAAATAATCCTAGACTCTTTAAAAACTATTTTCACTACTCGCTGTCACTGCACTCCTGACGTCAATGGCTATATAACCTCTGAATTATTAAATCTTGTTTTAAAAAACTAAATAAAATAAAATTCTGGATGTATGCAATTCTACTACTCCACCATGAAAACTTAAATTGTTTGTGTGTGGGAGGGGGGGTATGCAGACAAAATCTCCATAATTTACTCTGGATATATATGTCACTGCAGATCTATCCCCAGACAGTAGAAATTTCATTCATCTCTTCCCAGCTCTGAGATATTACCAGCCATTCTTTGCACTTTGAAATAAATTTTCATAGCTGTAGGAACTAGTTATTTCAAGGTCGAATCATCAGGAAATTCATGTTGGTATCCATGATCACATTCTTCCTTTTTCTTTTTTTCTTATGTGGAATCACAGCATTCCATACATAAAGCTATGCTTATTATTAAGCAGTTTAAAAAGTGCTGAACACCAACTTCCAATTAACTTCACCCTTTAGCCATAATAGGAGTCAGCCTATTCTCTCACTATTTTGAATAGACGCATGCCTATTTTCAGTTCTGTAATCATAATGTAAAAAGATGCCTACCCAAAGAAAGGAAAATGTTGGCAAATATCCCCCAAAGCATTCAATCCTGAAAAATCCTGTTCTCTTTCCTCTGCTCATGCCATACAAGTGCATAAAATGCCCTGTTTAAGATCTCAGTACACAAAAGGTGGTAGGGGGTTTGCTTTCACAAGGTGACTTGCCAGTAGCATCACTGGGGGGAGAGGGGGATGCGGCCTGCACTGGGTGACACCCAAGAAGAGGAGTGACACTAGGTAGGCTCCCTGCCCCCTCAGTGCTGTTTTGGCCCTCATGGGAGCTTTTTAGGGCTGTGGTGGGTGCTCCTGGGCCCCGCCTGGGCCTTTCTGCACCACAGCGGGTGCTCCTGGGCTCTGCCTGGATCTTTTCCTGGCTGCAGCTGGTGTTCCTGGGCCTGTCCTGGGCCTTTCTACACTGCGGCCAGCACTCCTCGGCCTCGCCTTGGCCTCTTCCCAGCCTTAGTGGGTGTTCCTTGGCCCTGCCCGGGTGCTCTTCGGGACCATGGGGATGCTGCTCCAGCCTGTGGGGGCACTCCCATGTGCCCCCCTGGCCCGGAAATCCTGCCAGATGTCTAGGGAGTCTGGGGTTGGAAGTCCTGTTTCCAGAAGCCCTGTCCCCCACACCAGGTGTCACCAAGCCTGGTGATGCCACTGTAACTTGCTATGCATGGCAGATGCCACAGGCTGAAACGCAATGAAGCTTTGAGACAGGAAATCAATCCTGGGACAGGGCTGAGTCACATGACACATACAGAGAAATGTAACAACTGTGTGAGAAATGTGTGTGTGTGTGGACATACACACATACACTTGCACTTGCTCATGTGGTTACTTCACCTTTATATCCCTGCAGTATCTCAGGACAGGGGAGTGGTTCCCACTGTTGTGAACGTCTTCAAATCCAGGAAACATATTCAGAGTAGCCTTGTTGGCCATACTTGGATCTCAATAAAAGTTAATTTGTTGCAGCTAATGGATTTGAAAATTTCATTGTCTGTGTCTTCGTCCCGGCTGACCACATGGCCAAGAAGAGGAGTAACCTCTGCTTGCATTGATATCCTTTCAGACCATCTTAACTGACAACAAAAGTAACGTCTGAAAAAAATGTAGGCTTGCAACTCTAACTTTATCACTTTTCTTCTGTGTGATTTTAAACATCTTTGCCAGATGAAGAAGCTGGTGACACTGGTAGTATGTTGGGTTTGTCTGTGTGTGTGTGTGTGTGTGTGTGCATTTAACTGGCCTAATCCCTATTTTGTGGATGTTGGGTTTTGTTGTATTTTACTGTGAGTGTGTGTGAATGGAGTCTTGGAAATAGAAATGAGGACCAAGGAAGTCATTCTGATAGGAAATATGAGGTATTAAGACTTTGTAAAGAGAGATTGGAATACATCATATGAATAAAATCTAGAATGCCAGAAATGGATGACTGAGAGCAACCACAATTGTGGCTTCTTTTTTATAATACTAGATTTAATGAAAGAACTAGATATTGATCCTGCGCAGATAAATTCTTTAACCATTACTATATTCCTTGTCCATCATGTGCACCAAGCCATTACAGTCGCCCCTATGGTTTTTGCGGACTTGAAGTCCGCATCCCTCACTTGTTCGCGGGCAGCAAACGTGAGAGGGACATAATGGGGCTTGAATATTTGTGGTTTTCCATTGGGGGGGAGGAGCGAAAACTGAGGGGTGACTGTAATTCCTTCTTGATCTCACCCCAGCCCAGATTATTTCTTCCCAAGTGGTTTGACAAAACCAGATGAGCGAGGCTGAATGTTTTAGCAACTTCTTGTGTACCTTAAAGTGGCAGCCTAAAAAGGAATCAAAAGCAGGAGGGCACAGATAGCAATAAAAAAGTACAGAAATAAAGCATTAACAACAACAACAACAACAACAACAACCCTAACACTTAACAGTAGTTTTCAGTAAGGCCTGCCTTCTTTACACATGCTCTTTGCTAAACCAAAAGCCAAATACTTGAGGACTTTAAATTCATCTTTTCATTTGACATTCAAGACAGTTTTTAATGTGAATTGCATCAGATGACAATTAACAGGATGAGAGCATTTGGAATTTGATTCTGTCCTTATCTGAGGTCAAGGGAAATTCCTCCTCATATTCCTGGGGGAGGGGGATGCCTAGGTGACAGTGAGGGATTTCCTCTCCATAAAAAGAAAAGATTCACAGGAGGGATCTTCCTTAGCATTGGAGAAAAGAGTTAATTTCAGTCTCTTGATCCTCTTAACTATCAGCCCTACCTCTGTAATTTGCATTGTTAAAAACCTGAAATCAAAAGCTCATTTAAACATATCTGTTCCAATCTCCCATAATATAGGGTGGCATAGCTGACCAACATCACAGACATCTAGAGGAAAGCTGGGCATAGCCTTGATAATTTTTGAAAAACAGGAGCAGGGGGGAAAAGCTACTACTACTACTACTACTACTACTACTACTACTACTACTAATATCCCACTTTCTCAAAAAAAAAAGTTTAAAAGAACAATACAATTTAAAACTTACAAAAAGTGGGCATTAAAAAAATTAAACTACTACAGCATTAAAACACATTAGAGGAATAAAATGCAATTTAAAAAAGATAGGAGTGCTTAAAAATAGTACAATTAAAACAGTACAATACCCCCTGCCTATTCTTTTTTTTAAAAAAAGCTATGCAATTAATCACCTCAATGCACAGAGTGAAATTGTTAGTAGATCAACTGATCACTGGTTTGTTTCTTCACAAAAGAGCCAAAAATATGTCTGGAAGGAGAGAATGACTCCATCAAGTCAAACATGGTACAACATGGGCCATAAAACAATCAAAGGAGGAGGAAAGGCCACATATAACAATATAATTACTGTTAACAGTATTGCTGGAAAACATTAGATAAACTTGGTGAAAGATCTGCAGAAGTATTGCTCATTGGCCATTGAAACTATGGACTCTAAACTGAAAACCCTCCCAAGACATATATACTACTAATACTGCCTTCCAACAAGGATTATCATATGAGTATAGAA